CTACCATGTTAACATTATTTTCACAGTATGTAAAAATAGGTTTTTCACACTTTACAGATAAACCAAATTTCTAATTACATTTTTATACTTTGTTTGATAATTTGTGTTTAAGAATCAAAATTGGAAATTGCGTACGAATCCTGACATTTAATGTGGAAAATGTTTTATACGTTTAGACTTGCGCGACACATAATTATTTCGACCACGGTCACGTAATTTAATCACACCCAATTTATGAGCGCCATGGCTAAACCTTGATGTACCTGGATATAGAACAGAATCTCATTCCATAATTAATTTGAAATAATGAAATGTTGTAAACAAACAATGTATTTTACACGCAAAAACAGTTCATTATCACTGATTTTTTTTGAAGAAGAAAAAATGTCTCTTTTTACCTGTACCTCAGGCTGTAGCATTAAGTTTTTAAAATATGGGATCAGAGAAAAATATTACGAATGGCAGAATGCTGTATTGTATTCTCTCGAAACTGTCCTCAATTTGGCAAACTTTCGAATGTCCCAGCAGAATGTTGTTGTTCGACATATTCGACGAACACGTCTCAAATAATTTAAAATTATTCAGGACAAATTTAAAATTATCTTTCATTGCGTTTGTCCGCGAGTCGGATGAGTGTTGGAGGGTGAGACCCCCCCCAAATAATAAATAAATATTATTTTTTCCCCGAAGCAAACGACGACGCGTGGCTACAACACGAGAAATATCTCAAATTTACTTGGATACGAGTAACCATTTTTCAGCGAAAAAAATCAATAACTACCCTTTTCAGTGGGACACAGATCTAAAATGGGAAACGTGAGGGTGGGCATTGCACAGGCACTTTAAAATACAGTGAAATAACAAAACAAACGAGTCAGTGACGAAGCTAAAGCAACCCAGGGAAATGTTTGGTACGGTGAATACTTTCAGGGCGTGTCAGTAGCAAGTTAGCGACGAGGCCAACCATTAAACTAAAAATAAATATATACAAGGTCCTAATTAAAAAAAAGGGCAGGCGCAATTACATCAAGAGAGTAAGGCGATTTTATAACGTTAGACATGACGTCATTTATTGTTGTAATCACGGAGGCCTCAGTATGTTTTACGCAATCTACATTAATGTGTACACATATTCTTCGACAGTGTAAAGGGAAATAAAATAAACTACAGCAAATAGCAAATGATTTTGGTGTACTAATTTTGTTTTGGAGTTTTCCCTTTTTGTTTGTTTTGTATTTTGCCCAAGCAACTTCGGCGTTTTCAAAAATACGTGAGCACCTTGTCCGAATGCGTGTTACGGGCAGAAATGTTCAAATAAATAAACAGATAATATCCATATCGTTGAGATAACATATTTGGCGCATGGTAGTATTTGTTTTGTAGTATATAATTAAATAATTTCAAGGTCACTTGTAGTGGAACGTGGCGAAATAGTGCTAATATAACTTGCATTATAATAAAATTATAGCAGCTAATATCTCACTTAATATTATAAATTTAAAATCGACGTTATATAAAATATCTGATTTTCGAATAAGAAAGTACAGTTTATACTTGACTATCATGGAATGGCATGAAGTCACGTGACCATGCATTACTATGGCGCTGTTCCATTAGTTGGATTCACACACTCCCACCTCTGATAGACATAAGCACAGAGGCAATCGCGAAGTCGGCAGGGCTGCTACACTTACTCGGCGATCGGGGTAAGTTTTTTCTTACAAATTTTATTTTCTGGTGTATACGTTAAGTATACAATTCTTTGAAGACGGTGGGAAGTGTTACTGACGATTTATCTTTCGGTATTTTTGGTGTTCACAGGCTGACTGAGTTGTCGGGATTGGAAACTGCAGAAGACTAGATCGACCGTGACTCCACTATCACAGAGTCCGCAGTCTTGAACCAAATTATTGGCCAATCTTGTCCAAAATGACGACAGTTCAAGTAATACCAAGTCCGGCAAAGGTTAGTATTTTGTGTTCGATATATTATATAAATGATGAGTAGCCGTTTTCGTTTAAATTTGGAATCGAAATGTAAACACTGTGTGGTTGTGTGGTGACAGATGATACTCGAGCTCAGAGTCGTACACTACAGTAAAGACCTCTTCACATACGATTTTTAATGCGGTTCGTGCATTTTCAAGTAACTTATCAGTGTACGGAAGTGAGATATAGTCTATAGGCGATTTCTGAATGACATTTTAGGCATTTCAATGTGAATTATGTTTACAGTTTTCGGTTTTCTATGGCATATAAGGGGAAAATAGGGGTCGACTTGTCCTGGTGACCCCACAGCAAAATACTCTGCCATATTAAGTGATCTGAGCATGCGCGGTTGACATATGACGTCAAGCAATATCTGCTGAGTCATTTCTGCAGTTCTTGGCTACCGACGAATATTCTAGAATTCATAGACTTTTGATCGTATTTTTCGTTGAAAATTATTGTTTGGATCCACAAAGACTTATAAATGGCAGGAAAGGCCATTATTCAAGCAAGAAGATAATATTTTACCGTTGAAGTATTTTTCGCCGCGCCAAGAAAAAGTCACGTTTTTTGTCTGTTCGTCCGCTCGTGCCTTTTGTTGGGCCTCGACTTCCGGGCCGAGATATATTAGTAATTTTCTATTTTTAAACATTTCTACACCTCGCCTTGTTAACTGAACATCAGCTTGCCCAGCTTCCTAGTTTTTACCTCTCATTCAGACGATTATGGACTATATTTTGCAATGTTTTGAAAATATGACATGCATGACAACCTGCTGATCGTCCGCAACGCATTATGAATATCATTGCCAGAAAGAAGACGTCGCGTCTGTGAATCGCTGAAATTTTCCTTTGTCAGAAGCGAACAGCAAACAATGCAGAAGAAACGGTGGGCAGAGAGTATTCTCCATCTAACGATATTGCTGAGTTTATCTCGCGTGGACTGGGAGTCTTATTTTACCAACAATTTGCGGCAATTTCCCGAGCTCAATGAACTAATTTTGGGTCAGAATTTAGCATACACGCAAACGCAGTTTCACAATATTTACAACGAGTTTGATGGAACGAGCATCCATCCCAAACGTATCAACAACGAACAATTCAATGAAGGTATATTCAGGGAACTCCAGGCATTACATCGTCGCGAGTTTGAGCCGGCGGATCGCGATATAACAGCCTTGCTGCTGGACAGGCCAGAATACCGGTTAACTAATGGCGACCAAAATAACAATGACGATGAAAACGGCGGAGAAACTGAGACAAACAATGGCGGTGACCATCACCATCATGAGGACAACATTGATTCGTTGTTGTTTGATTTTCTGTGGCCTGGGAATGAGCTCACTTTAGAGGTACAGCAATGAAAGCCGGAATCTAATTGTTATAATTATTTTGAATTTGTGCAATTTAATTTATTGTGCAAATGTGTGGAAAGCAGTATTTCATTTCACACCTTCCTTTGTTTTTTCAAGTATCCTGATTTCATTCATTCATTCATTCATTCATTCATTCATTCATTCATTCCAACTATTCTAACTGATTTTTTCACTCATTCATTCAGTTCAATCAATCAATCCCTTCATTAATTCATTCATTCTTGTTTTCTTGCTTGTGCATTCATTTCCCTCACTAACTTTTGAAGTATTCAGAGTAAATAATTTCAACTCAAATGTTGTTTCCTGAAAACTGTAATGGAATTTACTAAAATTGACTAAAATTGTCAATAATTTTGATGGGTAACTGTCACCCCCAACAATTTGTATGTTACCGAAACATAAAAAAAAAAACATTAGGGAGAAAGCATTTTCACTGAAATTTCCATGTCTTGATTCTTGAGAAAAGAATTGGAAAAATTCATGTTTTCTAAATAGTGACAAAGTTAATGCTGGTCTTTTCTTAATGGGGTCAAGTCAGGTATAACAGGGCTTGAATATAGTATTCTGATCAATGTCAGTAGCAACAATTCCAGACATTGCCTAGTCAATCTAAAATTAATAACAATACATATGTATTTCAATGCATTAGAAGCTTTGTGGCTGATGAATTTTAAGCCCTGATATGGTGCCATATGGCTGTGTATGTGATATGATGCAACAATCAGCGCTTTTGCCAAGACTTGCTAACATAGTTAATACTAATGGAGAAGTGGGGTAATATTAACTGCAGATTACACTAGACGTTAAATAAATATCTGTGGGTGTGTAGGAATAGCCACTTTGTCTTCCTCCTGCTTGAATAACTACACTGATAATGGTGACCCAAAATACAGGCTCTTAATAAGAATTATATTTTCTTTACCTGGGTTAAAGTGATGTATAGTGACAGGGCTAGCCTCTTGTGGAAACTAATGTACTGTAAAAAGGGTTAATTATTCACTGGGGTTTAATTTTGCTGACTGGAAAATGCGCTAAGTTAAAACCCAGTGAATATGTAAAATTGAGCATAGAACACATCTAAATGATAAAACCCAAAAAAACCACTGAAGATCTCTGAAATGCTAAATCAGTGAAATTTAAACCCAGTAGAAATTAGTCATTTTACAGTATGTTATTGTCCTGTTATATGGTGTATATTGTGCTCTAAAACGAAACATGTATACATAGTAAATCATTGATCATCTGCAGATATGATAAGATTATTATTCCCTTCGGACAAAGTCGAAAACAGTGACTTATAATTCGGTCTCCATCCGTCCATCCAGAGTCATATTCCAGAATCCTTACATATGCACATGCAGTGGTTTAGCGAATGATATACAAAATAGTTTCAAAATTACAGAATGTTGTATGTGCATTACTCTTTAACCCTTTGTGCACCAAAGTCAACTTCACACACCATACACAAAATAATTCCATGTGTAGTCTGCTTTTTCCCCGCGGAAAATGTTGAATAAATTTCAACTTTTTTTATCAAAAACTGGAAGCATTGTAATATTTTGTCTGAAATTAAGATTGAATTCAGTGAAAATTACAGAAAATGTTAACAAATTTGTCACATTTTGAGTGGGAAAACAATTTGGCACTTAATATGAAAGGTAAATTTGAGTAAAATGAAAGTAGCACGATGCCAAGGCAATCAGATTGGCTGTGTGAATTTAAAGCCGTCACTACTAATGAATAATGATTATGGATTATGAATAACATTAAACATTTGAATGTCGGAGTAATTTTTGTCTATTTTAACATTTTTTTGATTAAGAATCGTAGGCAATGGGAAATTAACACATAAAAATTTTGCTCCAAAGTTTTGGGTTTCAGTGGGTTAAATCAGACGTTCAAGTTGTTTTCCCCCAATTTATTCAGTATTTAATTTTTTTCAGGACATGGATCTCATAGATGTACTGTGGAAGCAGGACATTGACATGGGTGTGTGCCGTGAAATCTATGATGGAACATATCGACAGAAAGAACTGGAGAAAGAGAAGCAACTTGAACTAGCAAAACTGAAAGAAGAAAAGTCACCGAGTATTGGTGATGAATGGTCTGGATTGGAATATGGCGTTGACAGTGAAACTGGGGAGTATTATCTTATCCCACATGTGCATGAGCCAACATCAGAACCCGAAGCCACGGCTGCAGACATCCCTCTTGATCCAGATGCAATTGATTATAATCTCGATGAGTGTATTCAGATGTTGCGCGAGCATGCACTTCAACAGAATGGTCCCCAGGCTGTGGACGACGAGGGCCTGCCCCTCTCTGTGGGTATTACCAGTCCACAGATCCTGCCAGCAGAAGATAATGCCACTGCTGAACAGCAGTGGCAGGACCTGGCTAGTCTTACCGAGTTACAGCTTGGGTTGCCTCCGTTGCCACCACAGAATGACACGTATGCTGTAAATGCAACAACGAATGGGAACGTCAATCTACAGAATGCTAGCATGTCACCGGAATTGAACAATCTCACTGACTTCATGTCTGTGGGTGCATCGCTGCTTTCCCCAGTGGTACAAACACCAGAAGACTTCACCTACAACGCCAACAACACCGATTCCTTACTAGCAGCTCTGCTGAGCGGTGCAGTGATCGGAGATATTGACCTGATGAATGACATAACCATGGACGAAACACTGAGTGCATCGCTGGATGACATTGATCCATTAAACGCATCTATGGAAGATGAACATGTTCCATCAGAGAATGGTGAACTCACCACATTACTGCCTAGTGTTACAGATGATGCTGATTCTGCCGTATCTGTTAATAGTGGAAGTGTTAGCAGCGGAATTAGTAAGTAAAAAATGAAATATAATTAACTTGCCATAATGCTGGAACGAGTTCCTTAAGGCCCCCCTCACCCCTAACATGAACCCTAACCTAACACTCCAGCCCCCGAATGTAATTCAATATGCCCCTTCAAATTATAAGTTACCCAACGAGGTGTATATACAATTGAAATGGAGGAGGAGTACCTGAGGGAAAGTGTTAGGATTAGTTATGGGTGTGGGGGCCCCTAAGGAACTCTTGCCATAATGCATTTATGTTAGGAAGATGACCACTAAACACATGCAGGGCTTGAAGTTAAAGTTAAAAAAAAAATTGTGAGGTCATAATTTTTCAATGCCAAAATTTATAAAGCGGCCTTAGTATAGATAGATAGATAGAATTTTTTATTTGGAACATACCAATGAAATCTTGAGTAAACTCCAACAATAACAATAACAAAACAAAACATTCAGAACAACAAAAACTTACAGTACTAAAACATACCAAGAATATAGAAAATAAATTTTGCAAAAATGCCTGCCAACCATTCTCCAACGACAAAGTGCGACTCTTCATTAAATGCTTGAATTTGAGAAACAGTCTTGTGGTTGTTACCCTATTTGATGCTAATTAATTTGAATTCAAATTTTTTTTTCAGATTCTCCGTACAGTTTTGATAATGACTGGAATGACACCACATCATCACATTGCAATGATACCAGTGATGACGGTATCTATGACGACATGGAAGGAGCTACCGCTATGGATTATGATAGCGCTGATGATGATATGAATGCATACTTTGCCGGTGAGTTGAAAATTTGGTTGTGTAATTTGTTGAAATCATCATGAGTGTTAGGCATCTGTATAATAATTGCCGTAGTTGGTGCTTTTTCTACCATTGAGTTGAGGCTGGCATATACTGGAAAAGCTGATTACTCGCCCAATCTTTGGGGCGGACATCCGGGCATTTTCACCACCTGGCAACCATCGCGGTGAAAACAAAAAACTTGCAGAAAACGGTACTTTGTGATGGTTGTTGAGACTCCCCTGAACAGTGTAACAAGATTAGCCCTACTTGTGTAACATATATAAATTCTGTTGTTCAGGATTACTTCAAAGTTAAGTTTGTTTTGTTTTCTTGAATTTTCACCGGCGCGACCGGCGTTCCACAGCAGCGCGCACAGAGCCCATAGAAATGCATGGTACAGTGGTGCGCTACTTAGTAATGTAGCTCCGGAGGATACACTTTTGCACTTTTAGGTTTTGTTTGGCGAGATCTGTTACTTTCCGCCGGAAGATAAAATAGTCATTTTTCAGTATATCTGCACGTGTTCCTTTTAATAAAAAAACATACAGGCTATGTTGTCACAGCTGAATAAGCGCTTATAGCTAGCTGATCAGTGAATTGTTACATCAAGCAAATGTCATAGCACTATGGCCTTTTCAACCAACTATTAGCATATCACAGCACTTGTATACGCTTTCTTCAGGAGAGCTGTTTCTAGTTTGGCAGAATTTTAAGTTGACAGGCCAGCAGGGTTATAGAGTACTGTAAAATCTGTATTAGAAGCCGCATCCCTAATAAAAGCTGTACCCATTCTTTTTGAACAATTGAAAATAAAAAAATTCACCATTTCTTATATGTGTATATGCTGTAATAGAAGCCACATCCCCTCTGTTGCATTGTACCATTTTAATAGAAGCCACTTTTAATACAGATTTTACAGTAGGAGTTCCCAACTGTTTACTTTCGGATAAACGATAGAACCAATTTAGCATAACAATGAATACAATAGAATTCATTAACATCCTATATGATTATGCAAATTGTCTGATACTGTATGCAATTTTTTCTGAAGGAGAAGACTGGTCTGAACTCCTGCCCCAACCCAATTGTTGAAATAATACTCATCATGTTATGAATTTTTCATTCACTTCAGGTAAACAAGTCGTGAAAGAAGAAAGTCAGTACGATAAATACCAACGTTTGAGTACGCAGCCACCGAACATGGATAACATCAAACACAACCACACCTATCCACAGCCCCACGACTCGGAACAGAAACAACAAAACAATAAAGGCAATCATAATACTCCGGGCTACAGCGGTTCCTCGTCTAAGAAAGACAAGAAGCACAAGCTGTCGCGCGATGAGAAACGTGCCAAGGGTCTGAAAATACCGTTCACCACTGATAAAATAATCAATCTCCCCGTCGACGATTTCAACGAAATGTTATCAAGTAGCTCCCTGTCTGAAGCGCAGCTAACGCTGATCAGAGACATTCGCAGACGTGGGAAAAACAAGATAGCTGCGCAGCATTGCAGGAAGCGGAAACTTGAATCAATCTCAAACCTGAGTGATGGCTTAGCGGAGCTGAAAGCAGAGAAAGAAAGGCTATGCAAAGAGCGGCGCATGATTGATAAAGAAACCATCAGTATGAAAGATCGGTTTCAAGTTCTCTACCGGGAAGTGTTTGAGAGTTTACGAGATGAGAGGGGAGCACCATACGACCCGGAAGAGTATTCATTGCAACAATCTACAGATGGTAACGTCTTCTTAGTACCAAACACTGCCACTCAAAGACAACAAGAAGATCGTAAAAACAAAAACAGAAGAAAGGGCCGCTCCAAATAAGGAAATGCTTCTGTTTTGGTGGGGAAGGTCAAATTTATTTTAAGCTTTTTTTCTGATTGGGGATGACTTTACAGATATATATTCTTGCTTTTATTTTGAAAGGTTATTCTTGAGTTATCAGTTGCGAGGTCAAAAGAAACCTCAATTTTACACAGAGTGTAATAATTTTCTTTTCAGCTTGCAGGGTACCGTAATCGTTTCATCTTCAACTGATTTTCTTGCATAATATTCTTTGAAATATATTGGCTTCCATTGTATTCTGAAGTATTTCACCAAATGAATCATAACTGTGAAGTCTAACCTCTAATACGCACATGGTTGATATCATTTTCATATCAATGAAAGGCATTACACGTTGGGCATTGCAAACTCCCCGCAAATGCGACCAAACAGTCGCTCATTCAGTGCAGTAACTTTGAACATTATGCATTTCCAGCAAGTTCCGTTAAAAGATAGGGTAGCATGCTAGAAAACTGGCTCACTAATTTGCTGACAACTTTTATTTTGATTATTACATGAACACAATAATTTTATAATCATTTTGGTGATTGATATTACCCTGAAGAAAGGTAACTCACTCAGACATGGGCTTTTCTTCTCTCACTATCAATTAATCTCTAAATAAAACAATATTGTAGTTTAGGATTGAGCAGCATATAGTTGTCCAGAACTGGTGTGACCACTTTATTAGAAAGTAGGCCATCTGACTTGCTGCCCCAATTCTGAGATTTGCTGTAATGCCACACCTGCTCTGGTATTTAATGAACCAGACACCTGTTTGTGGTACTTATCCATAGATATATACACCTCATAATTAGAATTCTTGATTTATATACCTTTGATGCAACTTCACTGTTCCCACCACTACAGTAGGATCCGTAAAACATTCAGCTACATGTAGCATTGACTTGGCTTAACCTTTTCACTACCAGCTCCCTCTTTTCATCACAAAATAGTCTTGTTGATAGTCTGTACTCCCCTTCAGAAGATTGGGACAAAAACAGCCAAATGTTTGGGGTAAAAACAGAAAAATTGACTAAAATTTTGTCTGTTGGCTCTAAAATTAGGGTTCATTTCCAGAAATATTGAAGAATATAAGAAAAAAAGTGCAGAAAAGTTTGGGTGAGAAAGTCTGGTGGTGAAAAGGTTAAAGCTAGCTTACGTTACGTTTGAATCAGCTAAATTGAGTAATCTGCGTTACTGTCTCGTATTACCGGTAGTAACATTTGTAAATATTACAAAGAATAAGTTGAAATTATTAATGAAAATGATACTTTGAAAAGTTATCATAGGAAAAGTCAGCTGATTGCCAGTTAGTGAGTTAAGTTGCACTCGGACTACGTTAAATAGTTTTTACACTATAATGTCTTCATTTTGTTTTCTTGTGTTTTGAAAATTAAAAAAAAAAACAGGAGCACTTAATAATTATATTAAATTAGTTATGAATATGGCTATAAGTAATCGTACATTTATAAAATTAATAAATTTGGTTTTAATGTTGCATTAATACATTGAATTTTTTTTGAATTTTTTTTTGACTACAGCTGCAAATTTGAAGACGTTGTGGTATTTTAAGTTTGAGATCCCTATTCTATATGCATTGTCTTAATCTGGCACAAATGTTTTATGCTAGCTCTGCGTACAGTGTTGTGTGTACGGGGACGCGTTCGGTTGATAGATTTCCCCACCACAGCCTTGCGTACCTCCATAAACAAAGTCCGGGAGCGCACAGCAAGTTAAAAATAAGTAGTTTCCCAGCCGAAATCGGTTGAAATAACAATAGTTATCCGTAACAACCATTACAAAGTTATCTGAAACTGAAATGTCTTTAAATAACAACTAGTAAAGACGGACGCGTAGGAATTATCCACCAAACGCCGCCATTTTTAATTTCATTCACGCGAGAGAATGCGTTTGTTTTTAGAGCAAAGTAGCCGATTTCATCCACAATTGGTCTCCGAACTGGGAATTCTGGATATATCTGGTAATCGATCTACATTTTTGGTTACTGGGCATGTTGCATTAAAAAAGTTTATATTTCAAAGTCCGGGACTTTGTCTGTGGAAGTTCGCAGGGCTGTGGTGGGGGACATCTATCAACCGAACACGTCCCCGTACACACAGCACAGTACGCAAGGCTAGTTTTATGCATACCCCTCCTAAAGAACCAGACATTTTGCCTTCCATGTGTAAATATTTATTGTAAATATTTTTGTTTGAAACATACAATGTTTTTTTTTTTTTATATAATATATACTTACATGTATAACCAAAATAATTGAACTTGGCTAAAATTTCTTTTTTCTGAGTTTAGCTTGTGTATCAATATTATTTCGATTCACACAGTCTAAGATGGGTTAATAAGTCTTTTTGTACTGCTATGTGGTTTAAATATGTACTAATTGGGGGAAATATTGAGAATTTTTTTGGAATATGGCAAATCATTGATTCAACATGCATTTGAAGACTGCGAATGCATTTATGGTTTGATTTTTAACATCCAAACAAGCAGAAAATTATTGACATTTCAATGATAAGAGTTTATGCTTATTCATACCATGAAATAATGTAAAACATTTTATTTTCTCTTCTAGTAATTATTGTGATTGGATGATTTTGTAAAAGTCACCGACTCTTGCATTGTAGAACCCAGAGAAATTTTGAATGCTACGAAATTTTATGATTATCAAAGTTGTGAAAATCATGAAATTTTGTCTCTTGAGAAATTAGTCGTTTATTGTAGTTCCAAGAAACCTTAAAAATATCTTTTTCTGTTTAATAGATGTCGAGCAAAAGGGTTACAATTAGTGTATATTTACTTCCGCAATTTGTTCAGAATTGATTTAGAAACTATTACGTTGGATTGTAATCAGACAGCTTGCTTGCTTGCTTGTTTGTTTGTTCTCGTCGCTATGCAAGCATTCTTGGAGAAGGCTGCGTTGTTAATTTGGTTAGCATTAGATACATTTACAGAAATAAGAAAAATGTATTGAAATTTGTGGTTTAGAAAAATGTAAATAAAACAAAATCTGTTTTCAGTAATGATTGTTGTGTTTTTCAGTGAATGGGTTTGATATGTTCGATTGACTGTGTGAGTGTGAAACTGAAGATATTGAAGACCAGAAACTGGTTTCATCTCGAAAAATTTTCATTCGACCCAAGATGTCAGTGGTCGCTAAACATTGATGAGGCCATATGACTTATTTTTGTACACATAAATAGTGCTCTGTTCTACCTTGTCATCACTTCCAATATTTTAAATACTGTTGGGAGTGGCGGTGTAATCCTTGTGTTTAATTTTAGTACTGTAGGGATATTCACCAGTGTGTGAAGTAAACAGTACGTTCTATTAACTTTGGATATTCACTGGGTTATAATTTAACAAATTTAGCTATTGGTGAATTAAGGTAGAAGCCTAGTCATAATTTTTGAAAAAATTGGTCATAAATCGCATGACAATGTTAATTAGTTTATTATGTACAATAATGAAGCTAATGTCCTATGGTACAATGAAATAGCATTATTTTGTGTTTCACAGTTATGCTTTTTGAGAAACTTGTCCTAATATTTCTTGAAAATTGCTATTTTTAGAACAATTTCATAGAACACACTGTTAAAGAAAAATTGTATTTTTTGACATTTTTTAAAACCCAGATTTTTTAAATAATTCAGAACAACAAGTACTCCATCATTAACAATATATGATTTTTTCAGCCTATGTCACCAGGCTAGATTTTGAGATATTGCATAATATCTCTGCCACAGGAACCTGTGGTAAAAGTGTTATAATAGTGTCAAAATGGCGACTTTCCACT